AGGGTTTTCTTCTTGATATGTGACAGGCAAACTCGAAAATTGAGAAGGGGAAGCAAGGTCTCGCTATGAGTCAGGGGGAATCGAAGGAATCAGAGCTCAAAGGCCCCAGAGAAGGAAACAGCGGCGCGGCGCAGCCTGACGTCCCATCGGACGAGGCTCCTCCGGGAGAGGACACTCCTGCGTCTGCAGATGCCGAGCCCAAAGGCAAAGAACCAGAAGGTGGATCGAGCACTCAAGAGGGTGCAAGCACAGGCTCCAGGGAATCAGGGCAGGCTCTCAAAATTGGTTTGCCAAACAAGAAGAAGAAGAAGAATAAGTGGAAAGGGAAGAAGGTGGGTATAATTTAGGGAAATCCAAGGATATTTGCTCATGCTGACATTTATTCTTTGTAATAGCTTTGTATTTCTTTTTTTTTTATTGTTGGTTCTGGTTTTTTTTCTTCAAATCTTTGCCTTAAATTAATGAAAAATATGCACCAAATTTTTTAATGTTTTCAATTCTGATCTGTTTCATCCTCTTACCTGTCCCACAAACATGTGGAAACAATCGATCATCCAGGCCCATTGTTATGCTGTTGACCTGAATTTTTTTTTTTCCTTTTTCCAGGCTGACAATGAGGATGATGATGATGATGATGGCAGCCAGGTGACATCCACTCACATCGGAGGTGTTGCTGGTGTCTTGGGTATGCTAAAGGAAATGGCAGACAAGAATCCAACCACAGAAGATGAGGAAAAGGATTGGGTGAGTAGTCAGAACGCTATTGCAAAAATTTGCCATGTAACTCTGCCAATGTTGGGGAAAACAGGAAATAGTGATCATTGAGAGATTTTGAGGTTTTTGTGTGCACATGCATGTATAACTTGTTTTTGGGCAGGGATTAAAAAGGCCTGAAGCATTGCAGGGTATATTGGATTTGTCTTACTTGATTAACACTAAGTGAAGAAAAGATGAATTCTGATGAAGGGTCTAGACAGAGACATGGCATTTAATTACAAGGTCCTGCCTGTCCTGTTCCTAGAAAAGTCTGAATTTAATCTGCTTTGGCAGGATGGAATGCTTGCATAATGTGATAACAAGAGAGGTTTCATGTGGGAGAGTCTGATGTGCCCAATTTGAGAATAGATATCTCTCAAGTCATGATGGATGAGGATAGAAGGGTGGCTATCTTAATGATTTCTTTGGGGTTATTGAGCCAAAAAATATGGTTGTGGATGATGTTGATGCTGTTGGTATTCATCAAGTAGAAAAGTTTTTTTTTTTTTTTTTTTTGAGAGAGAGGAAATTACAGACTAAGTAGGTCTGGGAAAGCAAATGCTTGTCTCCCTTGTCCTATGATGTAGCTCAGACATTCTTCAATGTTTGCTGACTCATTTGCTTGTATAGAAGATTCTTGCACATTGCAGCTTTGCATATTATCTGCTTTTGTACAGGGAACAAAGCTCCAGCGTCCCGAGTTGAACGAAACCGTCACACTCTCCTCCGGAGAAACGATCAAGAGTTATCGTGTGTTCAGAGAGGATGGGGGCATTCTGTCCATTTACTGTGCACTCTGCCAGAAGGACATAAATGGACTCGGGGAATTTGATCTGCACAAGGACAGCCATAATCACAAGAAGAAGAAAATGCTGTCCAGCAAGGAATCTGCTGCCTTCCTGTTTCATGGTGAGCTTTAAGTCAAGTTTCATTTACGTTCAGTACTTTGTCACCCTAAGCCTCATAATGATTTCAGAGGGAGATGTGAATTAAATTGCCAATCTGGATCTTCACCCTCTCCTTGATTGTTATTCCTATCTAGCAGCAGAAAGAGGAACTGCTTTGGTGTGATTAACTACAGAAACAAAGGATTTTAAGATTTTTCAAATCTGTAAAGAAAGTGTTGTAATTTTGTTGCTCAAAAGCTTGATTGAGAATGCAAAAGAGCAAAGTAAAGTGAAGTAGCATTTGACCTGCAGAACATTGGATTGATTGCTAGTGACTGCTTAGTTTTAGACTGG